TTAGTAATGAGATAACACTTCCCTTTACCATCTCTTCCGGTCAGTTGTATTAGGCTTTACTTCTTAAGACATTTCCTTTCAGTTAGACTATAATTAAGAACATTTGATACAATATTAAGATTATATTGCTTTTGCCATTAATTTTCTCTTATGTTAAAAATTATATTGTTAAACTGTATTAAATAAAAAATTATAAGTTGCTAATTAACTTTTAAGATATGTTGTTTATATTTTTTGGTAAAATTATTTATAAAAGTATATCCATGTTAAACTAAAATGCTAAATATTCTTTTTTATTTAAATTTCAAATTGTACTAGGTTTCACTGTATTTGAGAAATAGTCAATATTTAAATAATGTATAATTTTTAACTAAAGGGATTTTCTCATTTTAATTAATTCAGTATTGCTCTAGTTTTATGAATACTAGTCCACTCAAATATTAAATTTATAAATATTTAAAATGTGAAAACAATATTGTGCTATAAGTTCTATTCATTAAGTTTGAAAACTAATTAAACAACATAGATTATGTTATTTAATTTAAAACACATTTTAAATCCATTTGAATAGCAGAATAAACTGTAGAGTAAGTGCTTTATGTGAATGATTCATATCTTTTCAGTTTATAGTTTTTAATACTGAAATAACTTATGTATGAATTTGAATAGGATCTAAAATTTTGAATACAGGACTTTTGAATTAAGACTCATTGAACCAAAAACTTTGTAATATTAATATTAACTAATATAATACAAGTGCACTCGAAATGGTTTTCAAAATTGTGATTGAGATTTATATTCATACTATATTTACATTTTATTTGTGTTTGTATTCTTGTGTTATAAACATTCAGAAAATTATTGGGTTTCGTGTTAAATATCAAACTTTTTGGTGTATTTATGAATGAATGGAGACTCCACTCTATATTCAGCGCACATTTTCACTCTTTTCACTCTTAACGACACATTTATTTAGTTTTCCTGTAATTTTCAGTCGTTGTCTGTTTGTCAAAGACGACTCACGACTCTTGTATTTGGGGCACAAATAGAGTAGAAATCAATAGTGAATTCTATTGAATCGGAAAATTTTAAAGAGTTTATAAAAAAATTGTAGAAAAGCGTTGAGAGAGAGAGAGAGAGAGAGAGAGTATGTTTCAATATACAGTGTGTGGTGTCAGTTACGGGATTAATATGAAAATATTTTTTGATATTTGAAATGTCATAATAGAGTCGATTCCTAATTGGCTTAT